CTTTCAAATTACCAAAATAAAATGAATTTGTTATCTTTTGAAATTCTTTTAATAATCTTTTCATTTTTGATTTATATTAATCGTAAAAATTTTTTCAACTATGTTTTGATTTTGAAATTATTTACCGTAGCTTCTCTTCCTTATTTATGGGAAGATCCTTTTTATTCATGTGTCGGAAAAAACTATATGAGCTTACAAAAAATAATTTATTATTACTTATCTGAATACAATAAAGAAAGTATTTTGTTTCAAATTTATTCTTCTTACCTTGATAATATAGAAAAACCTCTTTTTGATTATATATTCTACATTAGACAAATTCATGTTGATAGTATTTTTAGTATTGTTACTTATGGAATTGATTATGAATTCGATCTTCATAAAGATTGGAAAACCCAAGTCACAAAAACCATTCTCGAATTAATATTCAATTATTCGAAAAAAATCACTTATTTTCAACTTTCAAACAGATATAAATCCAACATCACCAATCTTATAGTTAAATACAATTCAAAACATAATCGATATATTTATCTGGACACCACCTGTTCTAGTGATTTACTTAAATTCAATAACATGTACGGAATCACCCTTAGGTATGGAAAATGGGATAGTCAAGGTCATTCTTCATTTTATATCTCTACCAATCTCCAAATTTTTAAAAAAATCAATTCAGAAAATATTACAAATATCAGATTCAGAAATGTTAAATTTACCAAAAAGAAGAGGAAATATTGGATTATTTCGTATTGTTGAAAAAATTAAAATGTCTTAGCTTTATTAATACAAATATTGACAACATTAAAACTATTTATGAAAAGTTTAAAAATTCAAAAACTTTAGTGTATTTAAAAGTTATCTCGTGTAATCTTAAAAATTTCGTTTTTACAGAAAATTTACTTCATGAAATTCTTAATAATGAGAATATCAAAAACATCATTATCAGATTTGATTGGAAAGAAGAAAATTTATTAATCGATAAAAGAAATTCGATTAAAAAATATAAATGTATTGTGAAAAATTATTAATATAAATCTTCACATCCTTCATAATAACATTTCATGTCAAAATCATAATTTGTTAAATTTATGATTAATGATTTACAGTTCAATTCATGTTTCCAATATAATGTTTCGTTAATTATCTTTTCGATTAGTAAAACTTTATCATTATTTTCATTAATATTATATTTATTATTAGCATGAGATAATACAAGAAAAAATAAAAAAATTATTATTTTTATTAATTTCATTTTAAATTAAATAAAATTAAGATTCTCAACTTGTTTAAATATTTATTTATTTATAAAATAATTAATAATTCAAATACTTATAAAACACTAATACTATCTTTATCAAAGAAATTAATCATGAACCAAGAAGAATTTATCTATCTAACTGATTAGTATAATGGAAAAAAATACAAAAGTAAAATTAAAAATCAAATTCGAGTCATAAAAAATCAAGATGAAAATCTTTATTTGCAAGTTAAACTCACTCAAAATCAAATTATGATCACAAATTTAAAACATTATGAACTTGTAAAAGAACATACTTGGCATGCTGTTAAAGAAAAAAATACATACTATGTAGAAACAAAAATAAATAAAAAAAATAAATTTTTTCATCAAATAGTTAATCCTGATTGGTTTATAACTGATCATATTAATCGTGATAGATTAGATAATCGAGAACAAAACTTAAAAGAAACTACATATTCTCAAAATAGTTTAAACAGAAAATTACATCAGGTCTAAATGGAATTAGTTATGATTCAAAAATGAATAGTTGGGGTTTTCGTTGGTATAAAAATAATAAACATAAGAGAAAATAGTTTAGAATTACTAAAAATAGAACATACGAACAAGCTAAACAATTAGCAATAAAATTTAAATTAGAACATGATAAAATTACTAAAAATAAAAATGGTTATTCTGTTTAAAATTTGTATTTATTTTATTATTAAAAAAAGTAATAAAAATTTGATATGTTATTAGCTGCATTTTAAAATGCATTGCCCAGAGTCACCAACGTGGAGGTTAACATATTATCTGACTCCTAAAAACAATATAACAAAGAGCTTTCATCTATTTCAAGGGAGGGATATAACAGCCCCTAGACTATAATGTTATAAACCTTGACTACTTTGCTCAATGTTTAAAAATTTGACCTAATATCCTTACTCAAGTATATGAAGTAAAACCACGAATATAAAATTCTCCAAATTCAAATATACAAGACATAAGGAGAAGCTCAAACTAGCTTAGTTTAAACCTTATGCTATTTACTGTATAAAACAGCTACACTTCTTCGAATTTGGATATCTTATGAGTTTAACACGGCCCAACAATTCAAATCGATAAAATTAATTATCGATATATTAGGTTTTCTTTATGGTTATGTATACTTCAAATGTCCATCGTTATAAGAACAAAAGATGAATAATCGAAATAGCAATTTTATCGTCTTTATATACTTTCCAATTTTTAATTAATATTGAAATCAATGAAATATTGTGTAATTTGTACATCATTATAGAAATACCAATTTTAGATATGTGTAAATTTATTTAAAAAACTAATAAATGATTTACAACATATATGTAAAATTAAATATTTAACAAAGAATTTTCTTTGTAATCAGATAAATATAAATTACGCCAATTATATTTATATTACAAATCAAAATATCAAGCTTCTAAATTCCAAAATTTGAAAATTCTTATAAATTTGACCAAAAAAAAAGATTGATAACGAAATTGATCTTTTATTTTAATAACCAATCAAATTAACGATAATGTTGTTGATATAACAAAATTCGATTTTCGATACAGTTAACCAAAAATAAATTTGTAATTGATAAATTCTTCATCAAAAGTTAATGAACTTTTTTCCATTTCTTGAAAATTTTCTTTCTTAATCGAAAAAATATTTAAAATGGTGATTTCTTCATCATTTGGAAAAATACGTTTAAATTTTTTTAAATTCGTCGTTGCAATAACATAATTGCATTTGAATCCAATCCAAATTTCACAAATCTTTAATTTTATCATCATTAAAGTTACAGAATAAAATCTGAAATTTCATTTTTTTTTATAAAAAATCAAATTAA